ATTTGATGGGATATTTGAATATTCTGTATTTTTTAAATCGTTAATTAAATCAAATACTGGGAAGTACATGTGAAGTGTCAGAGTTTGAAACATAGATACGTGCAAATTAGCATGTAGAGAGAGCAAGGCATTGTGTTTTAAATGAACTACAAAAATAAAAATTATCACCTTTACCTTCACATTTTTTGTTTCTTTTGTAAAAGATTTCATTTATAGACAAGAAGAGGCAATAATAGTAAAGCTATTTAAAATGTGCAGCTTAGTTATTTTTACTCTAATCTGCCCTTGAGAAAAACAGTTCTAAGTATGGGAATTTGTTAGTGCCCTGTAGCCTCTGTAAAGTAATGTGAAAATGTCTGTGAAAAATCATAGGTTTGAAAACTAGTGAATTGGGTAATCATTTTAATAGAAGAAACTCCTTATTAAGAGGGCCTTAGAAAATACACTCATTTGGAAAGGGTTGATTCAGTGAATTCTTGTAGATTTTGTTGTCTTTTGTTTTCTTAAAGATGACTTACTAGGATTGGAGGACTTTCTCCGTCTTCTAGATTTTCCCCATGAGGTGATTTTTCCCTTTTACTTGTTAATAAATTTGAATGCAATTTCTCCTGTTTAATCTTTGTCAGTTTTATTCCAGCAAGCTTTCTGAGAACAGAAGGGAAATCTCCCTCCACTCCCAAGTTTTCTGAGTGCAGAGGAATTATTATTGCTACTCTAAGAGTACAAAATGGAGGAAACTTACATTTTCATTTTTAAGTATTTTATTATTACATAGTTTAGTATATGTTATGGGTCAGAATATAGTCTCCAAAAATTTCTTATTTGTTGTGTAAAATGATTTTCTTTTAAGACAGGTAAATTGTATCCTTTAAACTTGTATATAAAAGATAAGCACTTTACATATATATATATATGTGAAATACAGTAAGAGCTTTGTAAGTATATAGCATGTACACGACAAATAATTAGAGGGAAGTGGAGTATTCTTGCTGCATTCTTCTATTATCTCAATTAGAAGCTGGGATGGGAAAAACTGTTTTGCCTCAATGTGCCTCAGTTTTGCCTCTGACAAATTAAATACAAAAATTCTAGGAGAATGCTATTTTTTATATTGCAAGTAAACTACATTAATGTTTCTTGAACGTTACAATTAACACAAATATACTAGTAGGTCTTCGAAGATAGAAATGTTTCTGTAACATGATGACTGTTTATATGTTAGACTGAAGAGCTCAAACTTCAGTCTCTCTTATGCCGCTGTGCAGCTTCTAATTGAAGTATTTCTACAACAAAGAGGACGTCTCAGAATCTGTTCCATGTCCTCTTTCATTTTATTTTTAATTATACTGTATCCATGACAAGAAAGGCCTGTGATTCCGCATATATTTATGTCTCTATCTTCAAAAAATTTCATGGTTTACTTACAAAAGAGCCAGTGATGACTGGAATAATTGGATCTCAATTTTTATGCCACACAGGTTAACTATTTTGGCTGTCAGCTAGAACTTTTAGCACGGAATATCAATCATTTTTCAGTGAATTTTTTTTCCTAGCATAGAGTGTATATTTTTTATTGATTTCATGAGTATTCATATTTTTAGTATTTGCCTCTTGAATTTTACATACAGCAGTATTAAAAGTGAACTTGATAAATGTGTGAGCTGAAAATTCTTGCTCCATTTGAAAATAGCATTTATATGATTAACTTGGTTAAAATAGTTAGAAATTCTAGTAGAAAAAGGATGTCTCTTCACAATCTGTGATGCTGTATGTAAAACACCACCTGTGAAAGTTTATCAACTTTCTCCCAGATTACTATTAAAGAAAAAAGAAAAGAAAAAAAAAGGGTTTGGAGAACTCTTAGAATTGTTGGGACACCTTACAAATCAGTAAAATAGGAAATATTAATTTATAATAACTCATTGTAGTATGGAGAGTTTATACAAAACTGTGAAACTATGTTCATCTAATCAAAACTCCTATTACCCAAGTTCAATCATGTCTTATATCAATTATTCTTCTAATATAAAATTCTCCATCAATAAATACCAAATGAATTGTATTTATTTTAGCAATTTTCTGGCTAAGAATTGTTAATACAACACCCAAAACAACTTTATCTCTGTTGGTTATCATGTGACCCTACTATCCCTTAAAACTTAGCACTTCGGTGAACAAGTAATGAAAAACATCAGCATAATTATTACATTGAAAGGCAACAGACCTTAAGATTTTGGCTATGCAATTAAACCTATACATCCTTTTTCACTTTTTCTGTGCTTTTTGATAGAATGTGGATACAGCATGTACTTCATCATTTAAGACATTTGTCCTGGATCCAGTTATGACAAGTGGTCACAATAGCTTCAAATTTTCTTTGAATTTTTTTTAATGTCGTCACAGATATACCCACCACTAAGCAGTACTTCAAGTACTAAAACTTGGTTGATCATCCCGTGAAAGGTTAGCATGATGAATCAATTTTCTTATGAAATCTCATTGATAAAAGCAACCTGTTTTCTGAGTAACACCGAGTTCTGTGGTTTTAAGTAAATTGACACTGCTAGACAGGGAAGTAGTTGCAGCATTAGCAGATAGTAGCCTGCTGGCCAAGGTTGAGATATGTGATGGTGAACTGGCACACAGCTTTGCTTTTTCAGGTTGGTTTTGCCTTCTAAAATTGTATTTCATTGAAATGAAAAACAAAACTATCAAAATAGTTGAGTGAAGTGTTTATATAGTTTTAACTCCTTAAGCAGTATCTGACTAAAATGGAAAAAACCACTTTATTTTGTGGAAACCTTTATTATTAATAGTCCCCATTCCTGTGTTCAATGATTCTTTTAGGGCTTTTGACTAGTTTGCATTTATTGTTTCAAAGCTTTGGTGTTTCTGTATGTGTGCATGCACACAAGTCCATGAGCAGGTGTGTTAACAATGCATTTTAGGAATCATGGATTAGCTTTAGGAAACTTTGGATTCTATACTTGGTGTTTTACCTTTAAAGATTCATTTAAACCCATTGAGACTTATTTCCTGATACTAAATATATTATTTTATAGCTCTTTTCCTGTTATAAAAAAGTTATATTGTATCTAGTCATTGTTCTATTAAGTACAATATTAATTTAAGTTCTCTTACATTTGGAATTTTTATCTTTTATTAATAAAAATCTTAAAATTGATTTTATTTTTATTATTTATTTTGTTTTTATTTTATTTTTGAGTAACAAAAAACTTGAATGAATACTGCATGTAAATTTTCCAGTTTCAACAAGTATTAACTTACTTCAAATTTTGCTTATTAAACACTCCATTAAGTTGTAGTCTCTGATGATTTTGAAGGAAGTTATAGAAACAAAGACATATCAGTAAATATAATAATGCAAAAACAGATGTTCTCTGATATTCTTTGTCAGATTGAGGAACCTTCTTCTATTTCTAAATTTCTGGTTCTTTTTATACCATGAGCAATTTCATCAAATACTCTTTCTATAGTTATTAAAATGGAGTTGTAATGATCACTTTTTTAAATTTTATTAGCATAGTGAATTACACCAATTCCTTTTGGAGTATCAAAGCAACATTACAATCCTAAGATAAACAATACTTGATCATCATGTATTCTCATTTTTATCTAAGGTCAGATTTGAATTGCTAACATTTTCTTTAAAATATTTGCATGTATAGTCCTTAGAAATATTGATGTTGAATTTATTTTCTTGTAAAATCTCTTTTAGGCTTAGGTATTAGTGCTATTCAAGTCCTATAGGATATTTTAGAAAGTTTATTCTTCACTCTATTTTCTGAAATAGTTATTGTAAAGTGCTACTTCTTTCCAGACTATATGAAAGAATTCACCAATGAAACCATTCCCTCTCTCCCCTGCCTTCCCTTTCCTCCTTTCTGTCTTTTCTCCTCTCCAATTCTCTTTCTCTGTATACATAATCATATATAGGTAAATATGCAATCGCCTCAACTCAATTTGTTGAAAAGACTTTTCTTTCCTTGTTGAACTATCTTTGGGCCTTTTTCAAACATTAAAAAATACATATATGGACTCTCTTTGGCTCTTTATCTTTCCATATAGATCATCAAATCAGATTGGAAATTTTAACAAAATCTTTGGCTGAAAATTTGATAGGAATTCACTGTGATTATCAGTATACAGGAGAGTATAAATATCTTAATAGTAATAAGTCCTTTGATGGATACAGTAGGTATATATATTTACTTGTTTAGAACTCGTATAATTGTTTCATTAAAGATTATCACTTATCAGTTAATATCTCATACATATTTTATTAAATGAGTTTTAAGTATTCCATGTTTATTATGTGATTATTTTACTTTTATTCATTTTGAAATATATTCATACTTATAAAAAAACTCATAAAATAAAATAAGTTCCTGTATACCTTTGATCAAGCTCTGCCAAGTGTTAGCATTCAACATATCCATAATACAACAATGAAAACATAGAAGTTTACAGTGACAGTACTATGAAGTGAAATTTTTTTTTTCAATTTCTTCATTGTAGCGATAGAATCTCTTAACTGGACCAGATTCCAATTCTGCATTACATGCCACATTTGGTTGTCATATTTCCTTATTAACTTTTAATCTGAGACATTGTCCCTGACTATATTTCTTTAACTTGGTAATTTCTGTTTGTTGCTTTTATTAAAAGGCTCTTATTTGAGGTTTATATGATATAGTCTCATGATCAAATTCTGATTATAAATGTTGAAAGAGAAATAATACTCTTGATATTCTTTTTGAGCGTGTCATATCAGTAGATCTGTGATACTGTTATGTGACTCTTAATTGTGATGTTGACTTTGAACAGTCAGTGAAAATAACATCCCATTATACTACAAAGTCCCCTGGCACATTTTTAACTCTGCCATTTGGGGCAAGTCTGATTGAGCATGTCCCAAATTGTACATCTCCTCCCTCTCTTATTCCCACTCTTATATTTAACAGGGATCACTTTTCAGTTAAATTTCTACACTTAAGAATAATTGTGTGGAACAATACAGAGAAGATTAGCATGGCCCCTGCGCAAGGATAATATGCAAATTCGTGAAGCGTTCCATATTTTAAAAAATAATTGTGTATTAACTACAGAGTTCAGCCAATCGTATTAAGTAGAACAAAAAAAAAGCTAAAAGGGATAAAGTATGAAGTTGGTCATCAACAATCAGGACAAGGACTGATCAAGTCACCCTTCTCATAGTGTCCGTTTCACTTCAACAGGTTTCCTTTTTGGTGCTCGGTTAGTTCTCACCGTTCAGGGAGAACATAGGGTATTTGTCCCTTTGGGACTGGCTTATTTCACTCAGCATGATGTTTTCCAGATTCCTCCATTTTGTTACAAATGACTGGATTTCATTGTGTTTTACTGCTGTATAGTATTCTACAGAATACATGTCCCATAATTTCTTTATCCAGTCTACTATTGATGGGCATTTAGGTTGATTCCAGGTCTTAGCTATTGTGTATTGAGCTGCAATAAACATTAAGGTGTAGACAGCTTTTTTGTTTGCCAATTTCATTTCCTTTGGGTAAATTCCAAGGAGTGGGATGGCTGGGTTGTAATTTCTATTTCATTATATACTTCTAATTTTATTAGTTGGAAATTTCTAATAAAAAAGAACCTTGTTTCCCTCTTCCCATTTATCATTTATTTATTCAAATATTTATGTCAGTATGGAATCAGAAATTTACCTTATTTATTCATTGGATTATGATCTATTACTTTTATTATTTGATATTCAAACTGTCCCTTTTATGGCCACTGAAGATGTCCTTGAAGTAGACTGTTAATGTCTACTTGGCAAACCTTATCCTTTGTAGAGCAATTTCTTGCTTTCAGATACTTTTTCTGCTCAGTTTGCATAATAATTTTTGCAATTATATTTGTATTTGATTTAATCTTAATTTCAAACTTTCCTGTTAAGATATAGAAATATATTTTTTCTTCCTATTATCAGATTATTTCTCAATTGTAGAACTTGTAGATTCCTTAGGATATTCTACATATATGAACTTGTCATCTGCGTCTCTATTTGTATCATGTATTATAAATAACTTCCCTTGTAGAGTTACAGAATCTTTTTTTTTTTAACAGGCAGAGTTAGACAGTGAGAGAGAGAGAGAGAGAGCAAGGCTTCCTTCCATTGGTTCACTCCCTCAAATGGCCACCATGGCCAGTGCACAGTGCTGATCCGAAGCCAGGAGCCAGGTGCTTCCTCCTGGTCTCCCATGCGGGTGCAGGGCCCAAGGACCTGGGCCATCCTTCACTGCACTCCCGGGCCACAGCAGAGAGCTGGACTGGAAGAGGAGCAACTGGGACAGAATCCGGTGCCCCAACCGGGACTAGAATCCGGGGTGCCAGGGTTGCAGGCGGAGGATTAGCCTAGTGAGCTATGGTGCCGGCAGAGTTACAGAATCTTGATTTGCATACCACATACCAGGGTATTAACATGTTCAATGATCATTGTATTACCTAGATACTGTAATTAGATCTATAAACCAATCACATACAAATATGATTTATTCTGCAATAATGCTACCTGTTTTGGTTTACTATTATTAAAATTACTAATTATGTTACCTTAGAAGCTGCAGTTTATATTTTTATTTCTTTAAAAGATTGTATTTTGTGTTTTTTAATACTATTTATTATAATTATTTTTATTTGAATAACAGAGACACTGACAGAAATATCTTCCGTCTGCTGACTCATTCTGCAAATGTTCACAACAGTTGGGGCTGAGCCAGACTGAAGGCAGGACACAATTCAATTCATACATTCCACATGGGATAACAGGGATTCAAGTACTTCAACATGAACCCCTTAGGAGGTGTGCATTAGCTGGAAGCTGGAACCTGAAGCAGAGCAATGACTTGAAGCCAAGATTCTGATAGGGGATGTGTCCCTCATGTGCCTTAACCAGTATGGAAATACCCAGCCCTGTATTTTTTTTAAAGAGAGAACACAGTATAGCAGTTATGGGACCTTGACTCTGGCATATGCAATCCAATCCTATCCCCAACAGTTTATTCCTCCTCCTATTCCTTTTCTTTCTCCAACCAAAGCTTAATCTAAATAAAATTTATAGCTCATAATTCACACATTTAAAGTATACAAAATGACCTTTACTGTGTTCACAAAGCTGTGCAGTCATCATCAAAAATTTATTTTCATAAAACCATAAAAAAAACCCTGCAGTTCTAGCTGTCAATATCCAATTTCCTATTCCTCTAATTTTAAGCAATCATGAAACCTTTTTCTGTGTATCTGGATTAGCCTATTCTAGGAATTTCCTACATACTAAATCATGCAATATGTGGTCCTTTTGACTGTCTGGCTTTCACTTAGCATAATATTTTCACAATTCATTCATACTGTTGCCAAATATTCCATTGTGTGGATATAGCACATTTTATTTACCTGTTCATCAGTTAGTAAACATTTGTGTTGTTTTCATTTTTTGCTGTTATGGAGAGTGCGGTTTTGAACAATCATACGTAAGTATAATGTGGATATACAGTTTCATTTCTCTTGGATGAACCGAGAGAATGATCTTCCATCCACTGGTTCACTCCCCAAATGGCAACAACTCCCAGAGCTGATCTGAATTCAGGAGCCAGGAGTTTCTTCCAGGTCTCCCAGAGGGGCCTAAGCACTTGGGCCCTCTTCTACTCTTTCCCAGGTCATTGCAGACAGCTGGATCAGAAGAAGAGCAAATTGGCGCCTATGTGGGATGCTGGCACCACAGGTAGATGCTTTGCCTACTATACTACAACGCCGCCCCCTCTTAGATGTCAGATTTTAACTTGACTTTCCCTGACAGTTAAGCACTTCCTGTTTAATTTAGCAAATATTTATTGAGTGCCTTGCCTTGGTGATTAAGTTTCATCAATGCATAAAGCAAATAAATACTCTAATTCTTAGGAAGTTTATATTCTAGCAAGGGAAGGCGATTATAAACCATAAACTGAATGAATACCAACTAGAATAGAATGTGGAATTGAGTGTGACAATCTAAAGGGAAGCGAGTTTTAGTTGAGTACTCAAGATAAGCCTGTCTCATGGAAAAATTGATAGTCCAGCAAAATTCTGAAAAATGTCTAGTGGACAATCTGGACATTTTGGGTAAGAGGTTCTCAGCATACAGGACAGTCTGTGTGGAGTCCAGGAGGTCATAGTGGCTATTTATTTATTTATTTGACAGATAGAATTAGACAGTGAGAGAGAGAGAGAGAGAGAAAGAGAGAGAGAGAAAGGTCTTCCTTCCATTGGTTCACCCCCAAATGGCCACTACAGCCGGAGCTACACTGATCCGAAGCCAGGAGCCAGGTACTTCCTCCTGGTCTCCCATGCGGGTGCAGGGGCTAAAGCACGTGGGCCATCCTCGACTGCCTTCCCAGGGCCACAGAGGAGAGCTGGACTGGAAGAGGAGCAACCAGGACTAGAACCTGGCGCCCATATGGGATGCTGGCGCCGCAGGCGGAGGACTAACCAAGTGAGCCATGGCGCTGGCCCACAGTGGCTATTACAGAGAGAACAAGTAAGCATAGGAACAAACAAGAATAGTAGGTGTTCATTCTTCAGAGGTAACAGGGGACCAGGTCATATAGAACACTATATATTATTTCAACGAATTTGGAAGCTCTTACAAATGATGAGATGTTCAGATACTTAAATCTGGATGTAGGAAAGTTATCAATTTTAATCATTTTGTTTTTTACTTTTGTATTACTATTAAATACTTGTTTTGAATTTCTACTTCACTTGTATCCTTGTAACAAAGAAGATGAATATTAAGTTGAAATAAATTTAAAGAATGTTTCTTAATTTGAGAATTAAGGATAATCATAATTAAATATGGTGTAAAACTTGAAATTCTAAAAATAAACAGCATTTTAGAATTATCATTGAAGACACTGATGAGTATTTGCCTATGAGGAAGTGTACTGTGAAATTCAGAATTGAAGTTGTGAAGAAATGCATGCATATTTATTCTAACTGTTAAAAAATAAGTTGAAATTTATTTTATATGTAAATCATACTTTCATGGCACTGTTTAAAAGGAAAACTGCATGCATACTACAGAAGAAAAGTATATATGAAAATTCAGATAGTTACAAAGTTTTTGAGTTTTTAATTTTTAAAAGTTTGTCTTTTAACTTGATAAATAATTTTAGGATGGTATTACTATACATTTAGAAAATTCTAACATACTTTGATAACTTACCTTGCACCAGTACATATCCATTTAAGAAATATTTCTGTGTTTATTAAAATGATCCCATGGAAGCCTGTGGACACATAATATTTAATATTGTAGTTAAATGAACATTTTGGGCATAACCATCAATCAGAAAGTTTCTCATAGTACGTTTAAAATTGATAGGTTTTTGTTTTCTTTTGTTATTTTCTCTAGCAATCTCAAGATTTATCAGAATAGCAGGTTCAAATAGATAGAAGGGACAAGATGTTTCTTATCAACTGCTAGGCTCATGGGTGAGACATCTATATAAGCTACAGATTTACTTAAGATGTATATGACACAAACTTTTAGGAATGAAAAGCCAAGAAACAGGAAAAATTTTGTATTCTTGTGCTATGATTGAAGAAATAGTCATGGGAAAAATGATGGAAGTAAAAGAATTTGTCTAATTTAATTAACTGGGTGGATTCTACAAGCCCTGTTCAGACTCTACACTGTGGCCATGCATGAATTTCTTTCCTTCTGGAATAGGGCACATGAGGATCTTAGGAACTACTTCAGAAAAAGACCAGAGAACACTTTTCTGACCTGCTCCAGGGGCCTTCATGCGTGGGCAGTTTTCTCAAATGCCAACATGCCATGTTCCAGGGTAGCAGGTCCTTCACCTCTTGGAGACATCTCCTTCCCTCCCATCTCACAAGCAACAGAGAACCACAAATTCTTAATGTTCAGAATTATAAATACAGATCGTGGCCCAGGGAACTCCAGCAGCTGCAGGGCTAACACTCGGGTGAATGGGACTTCCAGGACTGCTAGGGTCCAGGTCATGTGACTTGCTTAAAACACTGACTTTTTAAAAATTT